GTTGAAAGAATCTTTCTTCAAGGTGAAATGGAGGTAGGGTTATCACAAATAATAACTTTAATTTGCTGGACCATAAACAAACTAATACTGGCAAACAGAGCTGTATGCAGAGCAGTGTGCAATCACACAAGTGCATTAGTGAGTCCATGCACTGAAGTGAGATGGACCCAAACACAGGAAATAACAGACTGAACCAGTGTTATGACTGGTTACATTACAGAATATAATAGCCTTACGCAGTAGAGCGTAAATAAGAGGTTTTTCCCATCACAGGGAAATGGGAAAACTTATGGTTTGTGCATTTTTGTCAAAAAGTAATGTACATCATTTCCAAAGTAAATGAAAATGAATAGCCCTGTTAAAGTGATTATACATTGCCGAAAGATGTCGGAAATCTTCGTCAATTGTGGTGTACCTCTGGAAAAGACAGTGTAATTAATCCACTTTATTTCATATAGCTTTGACTTCGAACACATAAATATGTTCATGCCATTGATAATATGTATAGAAAACCTGGGGTCTTTGCTTGTACAGTTCAGTATTATAATATAAATTGTACTGAAATAGGGTGATTATACTGCAGTTGATTGGTAGAAATATCTGGACTATAATCATACTGTTTTAGATTGATTTAATCCAAATCTCATTAGTACGTGAGAAATGTAACATAGAAATCAAAGCAAGATCATTCTTTCATGTGTATTTAAAATTAGTGTGTAACGTACTATTTTAATGTGTCTTGTTAATATATATATTGCATATTTAAAATGTGTTTTTTTTTCTATCCTAGGTCACAAGAACAGCAACAAAATCATTCTTATGAACAATCAGATTTCCACAAATCTAGAAATAGCAAATACAGACAGAAAAGCAGATAAAAGTATCACTGTCGCTACTCTTCTGATTCTTGGAGAGCATTGATCACCTTGTGTTTTGTCTACTGTTAAGAACAATTCAGTAGTTTTATTGTTTATCAATTTTCTAGTGAGTTAGACTGTTTTATTATTGGTTATGATGGTCGTACCTTGGTATTATTAAACTCCACCAAACCTTGTGAAAGAATTACCTAGTTTAGTTACTTGTTTCTTACAAAGTCGACTTCAGAACTAATAAAATTGTTTAGTTACTAGTGTGTAATATAGATTAATAATGTTTTAACGTTTGTTTTTTGTATAAAACTTGGAACACTCATACACAATGTTTGTTAAAAAAGTCCGTATTCAGTACAGTAAACATGTTTATCAAAAATGTATTACTTATCTTGTTCTTCTTGTAAGCTGTTAAATAGCCACAGAATATATTAATATTTCGGCTTCTATACTGAGATCTTCTTCAGATCCTTTTCTTTCAACAGGTAGTTGCAGTTCTAAAACCCACAACATTTACTCTGCAAAAAAAAAACATTTAAACATTGTTCTAGTATCGTTTTTATTGTTCATACATGGACTGATTTTATAAGTTTTTATGTCATTTGACAAGGACAGCTGCTGAGAATTTAACAAATTAGTACATTATGCTTAACTTTCATGTATACAGAACAACTTCACTAGAATTCTCATCTATACATTCATGTATACAGACCAACTTTAGTAGAACCCTGATATATACATTCATGTACAGAGAACAACTTTAGTAGAACCCTGATATATACATTCATGTGTACAGACCAACTTAGGTAGAACCCTGATATATACATTCATGTATACAGACCAACTTTAGTAAAACCCTGATATGTACATTCATGTATACGGACCAACTTTAGTAGAACCCTGATATATACATTCATGTATATAGACCAACTTTAGTAGAACCCTGATATATACATTCATGTATACAGACCTACATTAGTAAAACCCTGATATATACATTCATGTATATAGACCAACTTTAGTAGAACCCTGATATATACATTCATGTATATAGACCAACTTTAGTAGAACTCTGATATATACATTCATGTATACAGACCAACCTTAGTAGAACCCTGATATATACATTCATGTATAATATACATGAATGTATATATCAGGGTTCTACTAAAGTTGGTCTGAGACCAACTTTAGTAAAACCCTGATATATACATTCATGTATATAGACCAACTGTAGTAGAACCCCGATATATACATTCATGTATACACACCAACCTTGGTAGAACCCATAGACCAACCTTAGTAGAACCCAGATATATACATTCATGTATACAGACCAACCTTAGTAGAACCCAGATATATACCTTCATGTATACAGAACAACTTTAGTAGAATCCTGATATATACATTCATGTATATAGACCAACCTTAATAGAACCCAGATATATACATTCATGTATACAGACCAACTTTAGTAAAACCCTGATATATACATTCATGTATATAGACCAACCTTAATAGAACCCATATATATACATTCATGTATATAGACCAACTTTCGTAGAACCCAGATATATACATTCATGTATACAGACCAACTTTAATAGAACCCAGATATATACATTCATGTATACAGACCAACTTTAGTAAAACCCTGATATATACATTCATGTATATAGACCAACCTTAGTAGAACCCAGATATATACATTCATGTATACAGAACAACTTTAGTAGAACCCTGATATATACATTCATGTATATAGACCAACCTTAGTAGAACCCAGATTCATGTATATAGACCAACTTTCGTAGAACCCAGATATATACATTCATGTATACAGACCAACTTTAATAGAACCCTGATATATACATTCATGTATACAGACCAACTTCAGCAGAATCCTGATATATACAATCATGTATATAGACCGACCTTAGTAGAACCCAGATTCATGTATATAGACCAACTTTAGTAAAACCCTGATATATACATTCGTGTATATAGACCAACCTTAGTAGAACCCAGATTCATGTATATAGACCAACCTAGCAGAGATTCGTACGTTTGCGGTCAAATTAGTATTTTTTGCAACAATACTTCTTTACATACAGGATTTCTAGAATAATAAAAATGAATTGTAATAGGATACACCAAGTCTTTAAGTTTACTTGTCTTAGGCCTAACATTAGTTAAGGGTTTATTAAGTACTGTCTATATTCGATAAAGAGTTACACTAATATTGTATTTTGTGCACGTATTCTGCTTTAGTTTAGTTAGGGCTAAACTTTACCGTGCTTAATACTATCAATAAATAAACTTATAATGTTATTCTATGACCTAACGTTAAATCTTTTTAAAAATTTTGATAGGCTTTTAAGATGTTGTTGTACAAAATGTCTACTAGTGTAAGTTTACAGCCGTCTTTTGTTTGCATTCGTTGAAATGAAGTGTGATAACATATTTAGGACAGACAAAACTGTGCTCGGTAATTGAAGTTTTTGTGTGATCATTCACTATTAAAAAGTAAGTAATACAATAACAGGCGAATGACCTGACTTTACGTTACACAACCAAAACTGAACCGCCCGGCATGGCCAGGTGGATAAGGCGCTCGAC